AACCTGTTAAAACCCGTCGAATTTAATTAGAATTCGCAAAGTTGTTATCAAAACCGTCGAAACTTTCGAGACCCATCAAAACCCATCGAAACCCGTCGAAACCATCGAAACCTGTCGAAACCCGTCGAAACCCGTCGAAACTGTCGAAACTGTCGAAACAAATTCTGAAAAGTTTCGACTTTTGCCAAAATGGGTTTAGGGTTTTGCCTCGCAACTATAATGTCACTAAAAATAACAATCTATAAAGCCTAAATGATCTTGCTAGAGTAGTGGGTGTGTGTGATAAGGTCTGGGATCACTGTCATATCACAGGTAAATTTCGTGAGCCTCACATAATTCATGCAATATTAAACTTCTGATCATTCCTCGGTCTCAAAACAAATACACACATTTAGGTACAGAAGGCGAAGTGGTTATCCCGTATGCCTAGGCTTCTCATACAAGCTCGCTATTTAGGCTACTGGTGTGACTAAGTAGGAATGAATGAGATATTTTGTTAGACTGGTTTATATTCTTTCTAATTCTGAGAAAGTATTAGACTTTTACATAGATGGTGAATAGCTCGAATTCAATTGTACCCCTAACATCCAAACGGAAAAGTTGTTTTCAATGATGGATTGCTTATCCCGGATAATCATTCTACAACGGCACTTATATATTTAAACTAGATTTCAAAAATTTTAAATATCATTTTTATTAAATAGCAATGTTCGCTATTTCAACTGGCGTTTAAGTGCTGAATAAGTGAATGAAGGTCCGATCGAAATAGATGCATTAGTTTAAACTGATTTTGATAAAACAAAAGTGTACTTCGTTTCATTTAAAATAGGAAATATTTATTGCAATTTTGGTTTTCTCTAAGTGTATCATCAGACAATTTTAAACTATTTTATTATTCAAGCGTAATATTATGTTCCTGCACTCATTTCAAGTTGTTCGTATTTGTTCGAAGGCACTTAAATCTCTCTTTTGTATCTTTCAATCATCTTTGACATTACTTCTATGTCGGGCATTGTATCAGCAAAATCATTAAAGTTTGTGATATCACTGATTTGCATATTAAAAGTATTTAACTGTTTTCTTCTTTTGGGTGGGCTTTCATTATCAAATCTATCAAGTTCTCTTTCCGTATTTCTGGTATTGCCAGTATCATTAGCTTTTTTATTTGAAGTGCTTTGAGTGCAATTTCAAGAATTTTTATTAATCGTCTTCCCAAAAAAATTCCCAAGAGTCATCAAGACTGCGAGAACATCATGGTAAGACTAATGATTTGCTGAAAAAAGCTTTCCTTGTGTTTGAAATCATGCTTTGGAATCAATCCTTGTTTTAATTCTATAGTAACTTTACACCCATTCACTTGCTGACCGAAACGTGATGAATAACCTTTTGTCAAGATTGCAATGTCAGTTGTGCCTTTCAGATCAAAGGGAAGCCATTTCTAATTCGTTAAAAAGGCATCTTTTGCATTATTCCACTAAATTTATTGTTTCCTCCAAGTGATTTATGCCACTTTTATACTGTAATTCTTCTGCTAACTAGTCCAAGTGTACTCGCATAGTTAATTGTGTATTCATTTGTTTAGAAAACCGTGGAATTTATTACTTAGAGAATCTTTGATTTGTCGCATATTCACCGAATCTATCTCTCCACAGGCACGTGATAAAACAAAAAGGCTCGTAGCGTCACATATAGCATATAACGACAAATATTCTATCTAACATACCGGGCATAATATTAAGGTATTTGTTTTAAAAAGTCTCTGATTAGATTCTTTTTTTTGAGGGAACGAAAGCAATTCGTCATTTATTCTTTTTTTTTTTTTTTATTAGATGTAGTTTTATCAGTTTCCGTTTGTTCGAGATCAAGTTATCAATGACTTCGTAAATGTTAGACCTATAGTTACCAAAGATGTTACCAAGATGTACTTTATATGTTTTTGGTTTGAAAGAAGTAGATTTTCGGAAAATTGTAAATTTAATTTATTTTTACATGAACTTGGTTATTATTATAAAATGCTTTTGACTTAAGTTTTACTTCAATACATTTATTCCTCAATTCCTTTAATCATTAACAAATTTAAATAATGTGTGATCAAGTAATAAGAAATAAAGAATTTTAAATTCCAGATCCTATATTGAACGATATTTCTAATTTGAATTTAACTTTAATATCAAGCATAAATGTATTTATTTTAAGACTACATCTTTTGGCTTCTTCTTGAACAGACCAGAAACAACTCGCTACACTGGAGTACTCGTTGCTTTAGTAAAATAAAATATTTTAATAGTATAAATTATGATAATTATGATAACCTTTTGCCTATAATCTCTAACTATTATTGATAAATGAAGTTAAAAAAAAAGAAAAGTTTGCAAATTTTTCGATCACTTGGGCCAAGAAAATAATCAGGTCTCAAGTCATTTAGTTACGACCGAACCAGTCTAAAATTAATTCCGGTCAATTCGAAAGTGGATCTCTGCAATTTTTATAAATCTTTTCGATTTAATTTTTACTTTTTAAAAAGATTAAATTTCAAAATCAAATTTTTTTTTTAACAAGTGGATTACATTATTGATAATGTATATATTTAAATAAGCAATTGTATTAAAATGAAATACAATTTATTTTTATTCTATTTAGAAGAAAAGAGATTATTTAATTATTATTTTTTTTTTTTTTTGTTTTTGTCAAGCGGGAATTGATTTAACTGAAATCACAATTGAGATAAATCAAGATAAATCAATTTAATTTATAATTTTTTATTTATATAAAAGCAAAGGATAGACTTCACAAATCATTATGTTTAAAATGAATAGATTTAATTCATAATATTGGAACGGTTCTTTTCGTCATTTACATAATGTAATTAATAAATTTTTTTCGTTCATCATTTTTGTTCTAAAAAGATCACAATTTGATTTTCGATTTTCATAAAGCAGTTAACTTTATTTGGTAAGACAAGAAGCAGTTCCGGTTAGACCCTCTTTTAGTTATCCGAATAGACTAGATTAATTATGGAAAAAATTCAGTAGGAAAAAATTTAAACCGAGGGCTGAGTAAAAGCGAGTTTTCTATTGGAAAATTTCTATGCAAGAAAAATAAAAGCTCATCCCGCACCAAAAAAAAAAAAAAAAAAAAATGGTTTTAAAGTACAATTTAGAAAAATCCTTAAAAGACTTGGAAATAAAAATTAAGGAATTAGAACAAAGTAACAGAGAATTAAGTTCACAATTCAGTTATTTTGAAAAAAAACTTAAAGGGCAAGAAGAAGAAACCAAAGCCAAAATTAATAATTTAGAAGAAAAGGTTAGAGAACAAGAAGAAACCAAAACAATAATTAATAATTTGGAGGAAAAGGTTAGGGAAGACGCTAAAGCCAAGCAAAAACTTATTAACATTTTTGAAGAAAAGATTATAGAAAGAGAAAAAGCATCTAGAGAAAAGCAAGAAATTATTAATGAATTAGAAAAGAGAATCAGAAATCTTGAATTAAATATTTACGATGATACTATTGTTAATTTGACTATTACAAATACTAAGGATGAGATATTGAACACCTTAGGTGGATTGCAAAGATATCGAAAATTAACAAATTTAAAATGTAGCAATTCTCAAATTACTAGCTTACCAACCTTGCCAAACTCCTTAACTGAACTCTGGTGTAATAACACTAAAATAACTATCCTACCAACTTTACCTGATTCCTTAACAAAGCTCCATTGTAATAATACTCAAATGAATAGCCTACCAACTTTACCAAACTCCTTAATGAAACTCTATTGCCATGAAACTCCAATAAATAGCTTACCAATTTTACCTGACTCCTTAATAATACTCAGTTGTAGTAATACTCGAATAAATAGCTTACCAACTTTACCAAATTCTTTAACGAAACTCTATTCTGGTAACACTCAAATAAATAGCTTACCAAATTTACCAAACTCCTTAACGGAACTCTATTGCTATAAAACTCAAATAAATAGCTTACCAACTTTACCCGATTCCTCAACAATACTCGATTGTAGTAATACTCAAATAACAAGTTTACCAAGATTACCCAACTCCTTAACGGAACTCTATTGCAACGAAACTCAAATAAATAACCTTCCAACTTTACCAACCTCCTTGACTAAACTCATTTGCCATTCTACTCAAATAAATAGCTTACCAACTTTACCCAACTCCTTAGCAAAGCTCCATTGTAGTAATACTCAAATAAATAGCTTACCAATTTTACCCGGCTCCTTAACGGAACTCTATTGCTATGAAACTCAAATATATTGTTTACCAACCTTACCAAATTCCTTAACAATACTCAATTGTAGTAATACTCAAATAAATAGCTTACCAACATTACCCAACTCCTTAACGGAACTCTATTGCTATAGAACTCTAATAAATAGCTTACCGACATTGCCTAACTCCTTAATGAAACTCTATTGTTATGAAACTCAAATAAATAGCTTACCAAATTTACCCGATTCCTTAACGGATATCAACCCTAAATATTTAAAAATCAATAATCCTTCTAGCTTTTTAACTGAAGTTATTTACCTTTTTCGTTCTTAAACTATTTGACTTTATTGGTTCATTTATTATATAGAAACAATATATATTATTGACATAATGTATACTGTATTTCATACAATTTAGCGTAAAGCTGATTAAATTTAACTTGTTGTTTGAATTCACAACCAATTTTTGTATTCAGTTGTTATTCGGAAAAAAAGATATTTAAACCATTTCTCAAAATATTCTTGTTCTAATATGTATTGTATTAATAATAATTTATAAATATTTCCCATCAATTATAAGTTTAATAATTAAGCTTTCTGTTCGCTATTAGTATAATGTGGCTGCAAAATAAGAACAAAGATTTTTTCTTTAAATAAAAACTAAAACTGATTTCCTCTCATCTAGAAAGGCACATTAAGTTTTTTAAAATTATCAGCGCTTTTAAACTAATGAAGAATAGAAATACTGCCTGAAAAAGAGAAGAATGACAAATAAAGTATTTTTTGTCTATTTTAATTTTGATCATTAGTTTTTAATAGTGGACTACATTATTAAATTAATTCATACCCTATGAAAAAAAATTCTGGAATTTGTCTAGAATTTGCCGTAGTATCCAGATAATGTCCGGAATCCACCATGTTTCGGTATAAATTCCGGAAAATATCAAGATATCATGCGATGTCCGGAATCCACCATGTTTTGGTACACTTTCTGGACATTTTCGATAACATTTTCTGGACAATTTTTTTTATAGGCATGAAACATATGAAATGTAGATATAAAAGGATATTAAATACCTTTCCTGAAGTGAGTCCTGTATCCTTTAAGGGGTAGTATGGCCTCAGAACTTGTGAAGGAAACCTCTTAAATTACATGATAGCTTCATTTAAAAATATATATAGTCTTATATCATTCAATAAAATAATACTTAGATTATAGATTTTAATAAGTATCAAAGCTTATACTTTGATTATTATTGAAAATTAACGATGTATATTTTAAAATTGTATATTATTTATCATAATATTGAAAAGTACACAAAAAATAAAAATAAAATTGAAAAAATAAAATAAAGTAATTTTGCGCATTCCAAAATCAAATTAATATTTATTAATATTTTTTTTTTTTTCGCTATTTTTATCTTAATTCATAAAGTTTAAATTTAAATTTCTTTTTATAAACTTCCCAAAAAAAAATTTTACAGAATTAATAAATTAAATTGTATCCTACCATTTTATCAAGAATTATCTATATGATTTTTATTGTTTAGAACGCTTATTGGATAAATCAAGATAGAATACTATTTTTATGTTCATTTCTACAACAATAGACAAAATGTTAAAGAATTAATGATTGTAAGAAAAATGTGATTTTATGTGATTTATTATAATCTAATTCAAAAGATTAAAGATTAATTTTAGAAAATATTCACGAAGAACTTTTTGGTGCATTGTATCTTTAATACGTGTATAAAATTTTATTTCAATTTTTCGAGGTTGAATATGTTGAAAATATATTCTACAGCGTGTTTTATGAAAAGTAGGAAGGTAATATTTGGTATGGTATAGTCAATGTTAGTAAATTAAAATAAAATGCGCTGTGCAAAATATTCAGCAAAGCCAGCTTTATTGGTATCTATGTAATAATTTATATCTAATTATGGGTCTTAATAAAATTAGATGATTTACTGTTTGATAGTAAACGTCTTAACTTGTGGCACAAAGACAAAAATAGTAATGTAAAAGAAAAATTAATTCGATACAATATTTTATTCATATTATCCAAAATAAAACTCTTGAAAATGGTTTTATGTTTGCTTAACAACTATTTCATGTTCAAATATTTAATCGGATAAATGCTAATAAAAGATACGCTTATATAATCATAAAAGACAAATCAATTATTATTTGATTAATTTCTCAGTCAAAATAAAGCAGTACCAGATTATTATTTTTTTGGCTTGCCATTCAATTTACAAAAATTCTAGATTTGAATTTAAATAAAAAATATAATAAAAATTTTAAATTTCGATACAAGGAAATGAAAAAATGTAATTGATTCGCTAAATGAGCCATATTATGTGTAGTTCTTCTTTAGGGTCGGGTCGAGTCGGGTTTAAGGCATATTCGGACTGAATCCCGTTAATACTTACAGAACCCGAATTCGACTCTAAACCGCATTCGGCTCGAATTTTCAAGGGTAATATTAACTAACG